AAATCGAATCGCAAAAGTTGGGACCCAAAAATCGGTAACCGAGATCTTGAAATTCAAAAGGTCGGTTCAACCAAACCGATTTTATATAATACTCTGTATATAATAAAATCATTATTTTTATTAATACATTCTGCCAAGCCCAAGTCCCTTTATTTAAAATACATGATTTGACCCAAATTTTACCATCAATAGATGAATGCGTAGATGTACGTAGTGTATTGCATTGCTGCATTGCTGATTTTTCATGGAAAAATTGTGACATTAAGAATATCTCTTAATTTTCATGACTGTTTTTTAGGACTATAATTTTTTTAATTAATTTACAGGCAAATTTGACTTGTAATTGTTTTTATTCTCAATGTGTTTTTTTTTTTCATTTTTGTGATTCATGCTTATTTTGGATGATCCATGTATTAATTTATGAATTCAATTTTAGTTCAAATGTTTCAGTTTTTTACCCGTAACTGAACCGAAAAATTGGTTCCTCAACAATCGGGTCTGAATCTATTTTCGGTTCGGGCTTGGTTTTTGATAGAGTATTAATCTAGAGAGAAGTGAGAGCTAGAGAGAGAAAATATCAGTAATTAATATTTCTCACCCCCCTACAGGCTACAACTACCCCCAATGGGAGTATTTATAGATAAAATGTGGGTTGGGCTCCCAAGTCTTGGGTCTGGGAGGCCCGTTACAATATAAGGCCTCTAATGAAGCTAAGTAAAAATACAAGCTATTGGTGAAATACTAGCAACGTGGGACCAGGACGACGGAGAACCAGGACAACGGAGGACCATGACGACAGAAAGATAGGCCGACAGAGGACCAGGCTGATGGAGGACCACAATGTGAGAGACGTCAGTCTTCTTTTCTAGAGTTTCTGGGTTGCTTTGTGTGGACCGCTTTGTCTGACCGATGGGGGGAAGCCACGCGTCAACTGAAAGCAGGTAATCATGACGGTTATGGGAAACTGAAATGGCAGTCGCAAACAACCGTCAAATCTTTTCATCGGGAACCAACGAGATCTCGTTCACTATTTTCCCGAATGGCATAATAACGATTTATCCTGCTTCCTTATGCACTCACTTCGTTCGAGACATCAGAAATGAGGGACTTGTGTTGGGATATTGGGCCGAAGCCAATACCCGACCCAGAACAGCCAAGGGCTCAAGGAAAGGAGCAAACCCAAAAGGAGCTCAAGACATAATTATGAGATCCCGAACGGGGAATGGTCCATCAAGAGAGACACCGTTCGACATATCTCGAACGGTCCAAATATCTGACTTGGAACAAGTAACTATGCACAACACTCGCCCATCGGCCTGTAGGATCCAGAACCCGAACGGGAAGTCCGCAAATGGCAAAGCTGCATTAAATGCTAGAGTATGACCCTAGCAAGTGAAGGCATGAGTGCTCAAACGGCAAAGACAACAACCAACCGGGCTCGGCCACGTCATCATCCCACCTACCCCCTCTCTAGTATAAATAGATGCATTAACTACATTGTAAAGGGTTAACATTTGGATACTCAGAGTTTTAGATAGATTTATCACTCTAGTTCTTGTATTAGCTACTATTTCGGAACGCCGTTCGAGCAGTTCAGTGTAATCAGCAAATTACTTAATACAAGCAGGCTTTCTGAGTGCGATCACTATTCAGCCTTTTATATTTTCATACATCTTTTAACCAAGACCTACGTCCTTAATATCCAAAGCGTGTGTTGATTTTTAGATTTGCGAGACTATACCTAAACTAATGGACAATTTAAACCAGAAATTGACAACAATCTAATAGTCATCATGCACTAAAACAGTTTGCACGTAGAGTTCTGGAGTCAAAGTCCATTAATTTTAAGGATCAAAATTTCAAAAATTATACGTAGTATGAATTTATTGGTAGGTAACATGAAAACCGTTATGAATAATTTGTTTTCAACATTCCTAACAAACTTTGACTACTTAATTTAGCTGTATCCCAAAATAAATTCCACGTTTTAATGAAACTCTTATGTTTATAAAATTCCTCACTTCTAAATGAAGTTTTTTCTGAAAGGAATGAAAGGTTATCCTTTTATAGAAAGCCTACAAATTAGACATTTATAATATCTCTAAATAATAATCAATTAGGCCTTTATACCAGACCAGACTAGACCATACTTGACATAAACTGATTAGACCAGACCCGACCAACAAATTTCAGTTAAAAACATTCTTAATTATCATTTTATATATTGGGCCAACTAGGTTCGGCCGAATTAGTGGCTCAGCCCACATTTTACCATATATGCTCCCCGTGGGAGTCATGTACTCATGTAAAGAAGAGAAATAATCTTAAACTCAGTGATACATTTAACCTATTTCTCTACATCTTACCTCTCTCTAGAAATGTGTGTGAATGTGTGTATAGCTACTCTACCAAATACTTTTTGAAAACATAGTATAGTGTACTATGTCAATAAGGATGCCTATCTATAATGTGTGACTTACTGCCTATCTATAATAAGGATGCTTTTACTCGAACTGGAATTTTATGGTATGATGATCTGAACTGGTCTGCTCTGATCTGGTAAATGGCTGATCTCTGTGTATTGTATAGTTGTTCAAGTTTGATCTGGTCTGGTCTGATATGATGTGGAATTGAAAACCATCCAAGTATAAACATCCTAGTAAGATTGTAAGAATCTATAGAATTCCATCTTCTTTACTATTAGGAATGACGAAATTTCTTTTTTCACCCTTCCAACTAAATTAATTATCAATCCTGGTGTCTTTGAAATTCATTCATGCTTTACGAGTGCAATATATCAATAAGATTACTACATTTCTATGAGTCTATCAATACTCACACTAGTTTCACATGACAAAATGACCGCAAGTCATGCAATATCAATAAGATTACTACACTTCGAATCTTCGATCAATAATAGTCACACTAGTTTTCACATGATATATTGAGAGTGAGTCATGCAGGGACAGATCCAAGAATCCGAGATATCTTGGGACAAAAAGCAATTAAACTACGCTTAAATATTAGCGGGTGGGTTATATATGAAACTTTAAAAAAATTACACTCAAAAATTGAAAAAAAATTAAGTTGCTTTGGGCTTCAGCTCACTATAACCTATACATGGATCATCTTCTGGAGTCATGAGAAATTGGGTGGTTTAGTTTTCAAATAGTTAAACTCTTAATTTTAAAAGTTAGCAATGTTGACATTTAATTGAACATATACTATATACTAGATATGATAGAAAGTACAATAAAAAGTTAACAATTATTTACTCCAAAAACTGAGATGTTTAATACTAGTATAATTATATATTGAGGAGTGAGTATGAGTAAAGAAATGCTTGCCTCTTTCCTAAATAATTTATTAACTTTCCTTTTCAAATAGTTGTTTCACTTCATTATTTTTTATGGAAAATAATCTACTTAAAGAGCATCTATAGGCTATAATACACTATAATAAAAACACTACTCCGTATAATAAAAACACAGTATTATAAAAATACCAAACCCATACACATGTTTTATTACTCCCTCCGTCCCGAAAACAACTTCTCAGTTGGACTTTCACACATTTTTAGAAAATAAATTTGACTTTACTGTAGAGTACACTGTTTTGCACTGTTTAAAACACTGTTTGACACTGTTTAAACACTGTTTGGCACTGTTCAAACACTGTTTGACACTGTTTATCACTTTTTTGATGTAGATAATTTGCCAAATAAGGAAAGTATTGAAGTGTGAAGTTAATTTTGGGACATCCATTTAAGGAAAGTGAGAAGTTGTATTTGGGACAGAGGGAGTATTATTTACGAAGTATGTAGTGACAAAGGGTCAAGAAGTAAAACTAAGAATATACTTCGTACATTTTTTTTGTTATGATTAAGTATTTGATATATATGCTACTACAAGGTGCATGTTTAGTGAGTCTACAACACTACATCAACCAGACCGAAAAAAACTTACAAACATACCACCATTCTATCAATTGAAATAAAGTAATTGAAACTTTTCTTTTTGAAATAAAGTTTTTTCTTACTGACACAAATAAGGAGGTGTTTGGAGTCGATTCTCTTTCTTTTTGAAGAGCAGAAGTATAACCAGAACCAGTTTCAGAAGCTGATCTTCCTCACCTTCTAAAAGACTGCTTCTAAGAGCATTTTAGAGCCCTTAGAAGTACTTCTGCAATTTCACGCAAACAATCTAATATCTATTTCTGCTCCCAGAAGGAGCAGAAACAATTTCAAGAAGTAGATCCAAACACCCCCTATGCAAAAGAAGCTTGATTGCTTTATTTCAAGGGGCTTGGTTACAAAATCAATAATAGTGTGACGTATATCAATTTTCGGTTTGATTTTCATCAGTTCCAATTAGGTTCGGTTTGGAACAGGTTGGAAGAATTATTACCAAAACAAAAACCATACTATTTTTCGATTTGGTTTAGTTTTGCTTGGTTCGGTTTAAATTTTTGATTTTTTTAATAATATATTGTCGGTTTTTTTGAATTTCTGTAGTTCAGTTAGATGTTGTTCGATTTTTTCGGTTTCGGTTTCTTTAGGTTTAATATGATTTGGAAGAAATACTATCAATCTTAAACCAAATTGCATATCGTCCCATTTCAATTCACTACGATTCCGTTCGATTAAAACAACGGATATGCCCACCCCTACTACTTTTAGGCTTATTTGTCCTCAAGTGGCCTCCAGTACCAATCAGCTACGCCCATCAGCCCCATAACCATTCGGAGGGGTCTGGTTGGCCCAGCTCTACCATATCCATTGTACCTCATAGCATGGAACCAAATGGAGACACAGAAAACAGAACAACCCCGCCTATCCTACCTCTTTAATGGTTTCGTGCGAGGAAAGTAGAAGTCAAAAAACGAGCTTTACCTTCCACGCAACTTGTTGACCTAACAGCACGGCAAGATGGCCTTTTTTTTTCTCTTTCTCCCTCTCAAATATAAAAACAAGAACAAGATAAAAGAGCATGCATAGGTGATAGGACCCTACCCTTCTCTCAGAGGGCAATTCACCCACCTCTTCTTCCTACCCTTTTGTTCTCTATTCAATTGTATATATAGTACTCCTACAGCTTAACTTATTAGTTTGGGGTAAGTATGCATTCAATGACCATAACAGCTGCAGCAGCTTTGGTGGTTGGGGTCCTCTGCTTGGCCGTCTTGAGGGCTGGTGGAATTCAAAGCACCACAGAAGGGCCCTTCAAGCCAGTGACTGTGCCCTTGGATCAGACGTATAGGGGGCATGCCATTGATTTGCCGGACAGTGACCCCAGAGTTCAGAGGACTGCAACAGGATGTTGGGAGCCTGAGCAGATCTCTGTTTCCCTCTCTTTCAATTATCATTCAGTTTGGATTTCTTGGGTCACAGGTATACGTGGCCCTTCCTTTCATTTATTGAGTTTGTAAAATTGCATGCTAACTTAACTTCTTAGCTCTACACCAAGAGCCCAACTTGTGATGATAAAGGCAAGGGCCCTATTGAACTTTAGACTTAAGTACAACTCCCTCCTTCCCATTTTGCGAACACTTTTCTTTTTGCATCAAAAAACTATTTGCATCAAAAAACTATTTGTGCAAGACTTTTTTTTGTCTCTAAATTCCATTCACAGACAATATTTTGTTTGTGCAAAATTTGCACAGACAAAATAACATATATAGAGTATTTTGTCGGTGAACCAGATTCACAGACAAAAAAATCATTCACAAACATGGTGGGTATAAGGTGAGTATAAGAGTGGATATATCAAGCATTGTTGTTCTTTTTGAACTGTCCCAATTGTCAATACTGCGCATATATTTTCTTGGGAAAAACGTGTGATCAACAACATTCCACTTTCATTTTATTATACTTAAATTTCAAACAATTTTCACCTTTTTAACTACTTTATTAATAATTAGAGAGTATGTAAAACCAAATCAAGACATATAAAATTGAACAAAGGTAACATTATTAAATACGTAGTAGCATACTCAATTTTAATTTAAATTAGGGGTGGACACGGTCCGAGACGGTTCAAAATTTGCCGAACCCGCACTGTGATTATTGAAACGGTCCGGTTTGATTCGGTCTTAGACCTAAACTCATCCGGTATGGTTGCATTTCAAACAGAACCGTACCATGTCACACCAATACAAAACAATGTCACTTTTTCAAGAAATTAAAGTTTTGTCATCCTAAAACAAACCCACACAATTTATCAATTTTCATATTACATAATTAATAAATTTCTGATAAACTATATAGTACAAAACATAAATAACAAAACATTAATTTGAGATGTAAAATTGTTTACATAATTTGAGATATAACTTGATATGTACAAAACAGAAATCACAAAATATATATCCACATAATGACGTACATTTATGTTTAAACCATACTTATGTGTGGTTCGGTCCGATTTGTGAAAAAAATTGAGATCTATTTCAAACCCTGTTTTTTGGTTCAATACCATACCGATCTAGTTTTGTACCATGCCGCTTCGGTTTTTTTTGCCGACTCCTAATTTAAAGATCTACTTTCTCCCTTATTAGTTGTCCCATTTGCATTTTTGACCGTCTCAAATTGCTTATTTGAGTGATTTCACTTCCTTTTTTGTAATGGTTACAACAAAATATATATCAGCTACACTACATCCCAAAAGTGTACAATAGTTGAAACAAAAAAATTAACTTTTTAAAAAGTCACCGTTTTCAACATGTACTAACATTATCTTAAACTAGTGTAATATCCGGGGCAATGCCCCAGTAGCATCACATTGATATAAATAAAAAATAGCAAGTATCAATAGAGATTATTGAGGTTGCACAATGATATGTTTGAAATGATCTCTACTTTTACGAATTCTACAATAATAATCTCTAGAATGTAAGTATCACATAGAGAAGCATTTTACCTAGACCGCAAAATCATTTCCAAAACAAAAAAGCGAAATTCACAAGAATAATTTCTACTTTTACGAATTCTACAATAATAATCTCTTCTGAGAGTGTCTATAAACATAATTTGTACTAGGAATAGTGTTCATAAGAATAAATTGAAATGAATTCAAACTAATACCCATTTAATACTCTCAATCCCTAGCACCACTTTCCCATTCATCACTCTCCATCTCGGTTCACAGTTTTATGTTTCAAGCTAGAGATCAGAACCACATATGGTGGAAATGGTGTTCATATCAAATGGGTTTTAATTTGAATTTTCACCGAGAAGCTAGAAGAGTGGGGAGGAGAAAAGTGGAAGTAAGGGTTGATAGTATTAAACGAGCATTAATTTGAATTCACCGCAATTTATTCTTATGAACACCATTGCTAATTCGGATTATTTTTATGAACACTCTGAGTAGGGATTATTATTATAGAATCCCCAAAAGTAGGGATTATTCTTATGAATTTCACCAAGAAAAAAATTAACATGTTCATGCAATATGGTAATTTTTCAAACCATAAAAATCTTGATAACTAATTAAAGGAGTTGTTTCTAAAATATTACTTGAATTAACGTTTAGATAAAAATGTGATTAAAATACTACGTGAATAAGATCATGGTTAATATAGTTTCACATTGAGCATGCTCATGTTGTTGGAGTTACAACTTCATATTCAAATGAAAGTCACATTTTCTTCATATTTAATTATTACCATCTTAGGTAAATAGGCGTATTATGTATTACTCCTAGTCTCCTATTCCTTAAAAGTCCTAATTTAACCATCAAGGATTTTTAGAAAAACACTTGTTTACTACGTACTTTAATTCACGCATACTAGTGTAGAGCTGCAAAACCATTCTTTACTAAAGATAATAGAGTAAATTGGTAAGATTGTTTTACCAAGTAAAGAACAAAAACTTATTTTGGACATGACCAAAATGAGGTGTAGGAAGATTATATAGTGTCTAATAGAGTATTTATTAGGAAGACAACTTTGAAAATGATGTTTATAATGAAAAAAACGTGTTGAAACATGTGTCAACAGGAGAATACCAAATTGGTGATAACATCACACCATATGATCCAAGTAGTGTGGCCAGTGTAGTTCAATATGGAAAAGTAAACTCCACATTGGATCTCACCGCAACAGGTCAATCCCTCATTTACAGCCAACTCTATCCTTTTATTGGCCTTAGGAACTATACCTCTGGAATTATACACCATGTCCAACTCACAGGTACCTATTCCCCCTGTCTTTGCTTTGCTTATTAAGACTTCTGGTTCCATTTATATAATAAGGGAAGTAGTCCAATGTCTTATACGTCTATTTTTTTTTGTTTCAGAATTGGAACCAGACACGGTGTACTATTATCAGTGTGGGGATCCTTTAATGGCGATGAGTGAGGTCTATTATTTCAAGACCATGCCAATTTCTAGTCCCGATAGATATCCGAATAAGGTTGCCATTGTGGGAGACCTCGGGCTAACTTACAATACCACTTCAACCATCAACCATTTAATGAGAAACAATGCTGATCTTGTCATATTGGTTGGAGATGTGAGTTATGCTAACTTGTATCTCACAAATGGAACTGGATCAGATTGCTACACTTGCTCTTTTCCAGATACTCCCATACATGAGACGTACCAGCCACGTTGGGATTATTGGGGAAGGTGAAGTTAACATATCCTTATTTTCTTTAATTCTAGTCTTAATTAAGTTCTTAGCCACTTTAATGATCATTTTTGTAGGTCTATGTGTTTATTATTTTCCTGTCAAGTGCTAAATTGCCTGCCGAAATCCCACCTCTGCACCATGCCACATATGAAAACAGATCGGGCTGGTTAATCAACCCGATTGATTGGCCACGACAAATACAAAATGTGGCTCAGTTTGGCATGTTATTCCAACCTGGTTCTACTAGTTGGTCCATTTCAATGAGTCAAGTTGGGTTTTTTCATATCCAAATAGCGCGTTAAGGTGGCATTCCATAAGCAACCTTAGAACTTATCAACAACATTTTTGCATACTAAATGCGGAGACATTTTTTTAGGACTATTTTGCAAAGAAAATAGTTTAGGACTAGTGCCAAATCAAGTGCTGGTTTTTCCCTTAGAGCACATTGCACTGTATGATAAGGAGCTATGCAAATGCATATTCTAATGTCTTTAACATCATAAAAAAAGGGACTTCTGATTTATGTAAAAGAACTTACTGCAAACCATATCTTTGTTTTGCTTCAAGTAAAGAGTTTTTTTGCCTTAAAATAAGTGAAGAATTACTATACAATTCTCTTTTTAGCAGTGAGTGAGTTCTACATTTTAGGAAAAACAACAACAGAATTACTTCGAGGAGTTCGAGGTACATGCTATGCATTAATCTTACTTGCGATATTTTTCCATTTCTTAACCACCACTTTGGAATATGAAGCAGCAAGCGAGCACCAAATGTTTTCAAATAGTTAGGGAGTTATGCAATATAGGATTATAGGATCATCAATCATACCTGGCTTTTATCTGTAGATATATGCAACCATTGTTGTCCAAAGTTCCAATCATGGTAGTGGAAGGAAATCACGATATCGAACCACAGATCGAGAACAAAACATTTGCAGCTTATAGTTCTCGATTTGCCTTCCCTTCCAATGAAAGTGGGTCTTCTTCCCCATTGTACTATTCTTTCAATGCTGGAGGCATACATTTTGTAATGTTGGGTGGTTATGTTGCTTATAGTAAAACAGGTACTCAATCATTTTAAAGATAATCCTTTTCACATCTTGGCGAGTTGACATAGCTTATTATATATATGTTGCTTGTTTCAGATGACCAATACAGGTGGTTGGAGAGAGATCTGGCTAATGTTGACAGAAAGGTTACACCTTGGCTTGTTGCCACATGGCATCCACCTTGGTACTCTTCTTACACTGCACATTATAGAGAAGCTGAATGCATGAGGGTAGCAATGGAAGAATTGTTGTACAAAGCTGGAGTTGATTTAGTCTTTAATGGACATGTAAGTATCCTTAAGTACGTCGTTCTATATCGGTCAAATATAAAGACAAATTTAAACGCTTCAGGAAACCCCACACATTTTTTAGGATGGAATTAAGTTCCAATAAAATATCAAAGCCAACTAAGCTCAAACTACCAATTTACTTGATCAAAACTCGATTAAGATTCACGAACTTTGTGATTGGCATACTTCAATGATCCACCATATCATGAGATATACTTTATTAAGTTATTCCACACCCGTCAAGATAAAAAAGATAGACAATAAGTTCAAATTAGACACTAAAGTTTTACGTGAATATGAGATAAGCCACTAAATTTTAAGTGAATTAAATGATCACATATCTAACGTTAATTTTGTCATATGTGAACAATCAGTGTCAATTCTTTTCTCTCGTCAATAAGAACTGTTGGTTTTATTGCTTTCCTTTTAGGTGCCAAAAACTATCTCACTTTTAGCACATTAGTAAATATAATATAGTCGGAATAGAGTATGTGAACAATGAAAAATCAAACCATTGTAACAAATAATAACTGATATAATATACTCTGTATTACTACTTTTTAAATAAGTATGATGTATGCCCCCTCCTTGGTTTATCTATCTATTTAGCCAATGTAGGGAAGATTGATTATTTGTGCAGATAAAAGTTACGTACAATACTTTGATTTTAATCAATTTTATCTGCATATACTTTGTAATGTGTTGTAGAAAACAAATTGTTGAGTATAAAATATAAAATTTAACCTATTAAACTAGAAATAATTAAACTTGTGATATAGATTTTGGGGTCCTGGTTTCCTAAATGAAACTAAAATCTCATGTTAAAATGTTTGTAAGCTAAAAGAATTCTATTTAAGTAGAATTTAAAGCAAAAGGCCCCAAGATGAACTCAATAAGTTACTAAAGGCTACAAACTAATTAAATGACCAAAACAAAGTAATAATAAAATTGACTTAAAGTGAGAACCTTTTATGATTTGCATATAACTTTTGTTGTCTGATGTGTCAAAGTGCTTTTGACCTACTAGATTACTTACTAGAAGCTAATCCAAATGAACTCTAATACTACTATATAGAATGAGATAAATGAGGAGTAGCCTGATTTATACAGGTTCATGCATATGAAAGGTCAAACAGAGTGTTCAACTACAGCTTAGATTCATGTGGACCTGTTTACATAACCATTGGGGATGGCGGAAATAGAGAAAAAATGGCGATTTCACACGCAGACGAACCTGGTAACTGTCCCAACCCAAGAAGCACTCCAGATGCATTTATGGGCGGCTTTTGTGCCTATAACTTCACTTCTGGTCCAGCGGCGGGCAAGTTCTGTTGGGACCAACAGCCAGAGTTTAGTGCCTATAGGGACAGCAGCTTTGGTCATGGAATCTTAGAGGTAAACTTGTCTTAATGTAGTGTGTGTATCAGTATATACGGAGTATATATTACATGTGCATGCATGATGCATATACTAGAGGTATTCGTTGGTTGAATTTTTTCAATTTTAGGTTTCAACGAGTCTGTTAAGGTCAGTTCGGTTTTGAAAGAGGCCCCGTAAACCAAATTGACTACATATAGTCGGCGTCTTGATTGTTTTGGGTTGGTTTCATCGGTTTATTTGGTTTTTCATTTTCAACTGTTTTCCAATGGTTTCAATTCTCATCAGTTCGGTTTTGGCCGGTTTGTCGATCAATATTTTTCCTAAAAACTAAAAAAAAAAAAACTGAACTAAAACAAATAGAACGAATCAAACCAAGCTTCATGTTTTGAAATGCAAAATCGGACTAAGCGAAGTCGAACTTTTTACTTTAGATTCTAGTTCAAAATCAAACTAAAAAAACCAATACACGTTTAGATGTACTAAATATGTACTAGATGAATTTCGTTAGAACAGTCAAAATTGTGGCAAAGATAGATAGTGTTACTATTTCTAATACAAGCACATTGATTATTATTGACGTCTCGTGAGTGCTGCAGGTAAAGAATGAGACACACAGTCTATGGACATGGCATCGAAATCAAGACATGTATAATGAAAGTGGGGGAGATCAAATTTACATCGTAAGACAACCAGAGATATGTCTAGCTAAATAAAAGGTAATTAGATAAACTTGATAACATTATTGAAATGAAAATAATTCAAACATATTCAAGAGTGATTTTATAGATTTCCATATGACACTAATATGAATTCAATAACTTATATGACCTCATCATGTCTATGTACATTCACATTGGGTTCATTTGTTTGATTTCTTTTAAAAATAAGTGATTTTATAAAAGCAAATCAACTCTAAATATTTCATAGTGGAGACATATAAGATTTCATAAAATTTTGAAAAACGACTGTTTGTATACACTTTTTGGTACACAGTCTTATACACATGTCGGTAAACAGACAATTTTTTGTATATGAATAGTCTGTTCACAGACAAAACACGTTTAAGAGAGTTTAAGAGAGTGTACAAAAAGTGTAACAATTTTCTCTCTTAGCTAATCTCTCTTAACAAAAAGTGTGAACAATGATTTTCACATTTTATTCACATTGAGACAAGTCAGGTCGTCATACAATCCGTGTGTGAAACTAAGGCAAACAAATTATGTCTTTTTGTGAAAATCTATGTAAAAAACATGTTAAGTGCTTCCTCAAGTAACTAATGTCTATAAATAAACTTTTATTTGCAATTTTGCACTTCTATAAATATTGATAAATTGCACGCTCATCTATGTAGGTTGCATGAATATACCACTAAAATGCAAATTAAATCAATGATATATATGCAGATTCACATATGATTGCGGTTGCATTTACGAAATTTGTTAGGCGGCACCAGATACAAGTTCAATGGGGTGTCAGAGCTTGGAGAAGAAGTGGGATTGAGAGAGTTCACACGTAGGCAATAACACATGATAACCTCTCTTATAATCAATGATTAACATGTACGATGTGTCATTCATGTAATTCTTCTTACCTTAAATATTTCTATAATTATAAATAGAAATAATTACATAAATATGACCAAAATAAAGATGGTTTACAAAATATGATTCATTACTAGTAGAGTAATGAAATCATAGTAATTCATGTTCAAGTTTTGAACTTTAGTTACCACAGCACTACGTTGTAGTAATGAATAGTCATATTTATGTAAATAAGTTTTATTTTAGTAATATTCTCGTAAAAAACCCTTATAAATAAGCACCTTACTAATTTAACTATTAATTCCGAAAATGACCGATGAACATGAGATTTTTTTCATTTATAAAATGATGTTTATTGTAAGAGGAGTCTCAAGATGTTTTTAATGGGATTGGTTCCAATCCCAGACCATACTTAAAAAATCAGACCAGCCTTCCATAATTGTAAAATACTCCCTCCGTAACTTAAAAATCTTTCCATTTCAAAAGTAGGGTAGATTAAGAATAGTAAAAGAGGATATGAATTATTGAGGGTATGATGGGAAGATAGTGGAATAATGTGATGGAATGTAGGATAAATCCAAAAAAAGTTGTTGTAATAGTGTTTTATTTTTAGAATTATTGAGGGTATAATGGGAAGATTTTTTTGTTACAGACGAAAAAGGAAAGTGAGAAGATTTTTAAGTTACGGAGGGAGTATATATAGAACATACATCTAAGTATCTAACAGATCAGATTTGTAAAATACATATAAAACGTACATCTAATAGATCAGACTTACACAGTCACACACGCATAATATACATAGAAATAACACACGCATACACATAAATAAACATAATATACTACGTACTACGTATGAAAAGTCCTACATATCCTTCTCCAAACGTATTGAACCTTTCATTGACATGAATAATTAGTACTACGTGTTAGTTAGAGTTCGTTAGGTTTGTTTTAGAAAGAGGAGTATTTTACAGATTAAGAGAAATTGAGAGGCAATCTAAAAAACTTTATTGTGTATAAGGAGAGTATATATACAGATCAATTGGACTTTAGCTATATCAATGAAAATGGGCCATAACAGCCCAATAAACTGAAATTCTAAACTAACACACCCCCTGAATTTCAGTACATGACAATATATTCAACTCCTTCCTCAAATTCAGAAATTGTTGTATCTTCAATGGCTTTGTCAGTATATCTACCAACTGATCATGTGACCTGCAATGCCCCAACTTCAGTCTGCCTCTATTTACCCGATCTCTCAGGAAATGAAAATGTGTCTCAATATGCTTACTCCTTGAATGAGCTACTGGATTTCTTGCTACATCAATAGCAGACTTATTGTCAATTTTCAGTGCTGCTACACCTCTGATTTCAACCTGCATTTCCTTCAACAAGGAACACAGCCAATTAGCTTGACATGCTGCAAATGCACCTGAGATATACTCAGCCTCACAGGATGATAATGCCACTACTGGCTGCTTTTTTTAACACCATGAAATAGGTGCATTTCCCAGCATAAACACATACCCAGAGGTACTTTTCCCGTCAGTCAAATCCTCAGCCCAATCTGAGTCAGAAAATCCATTAATCACTACTTCTTTGTTCTTCAATGAATTTGGTAGTAGTATACCATAGTTTGATGTCCCTTTAATATATCTGAGTATCCTCTTAGCTGCAATGAGATGGGAAGTTTTAGGTTTCTCCATAAACCTGCTAACCAGTCCAACAGCATAAGAAATATCAGGCCTGCTTGTGCACAAGTACCTCAAGCTTCCCACAATCTGCTTAAACATAGTTGGGTTTACTGATTCCTCTTCTTCACAGTTTCCCAACTTCAGATTTGTCTCACAAGGGGTAGCTGCTGCAATACAATTCTGCATTTTAAACCTTTTCAATATCTCTTCGGCATATTTCTTTTGGTGTATCATAATTCCACTCTTGGTTTGCACAAACTCCATACCAAGAAAGTAAGTTAAATTCCCAATATCTGTCATCTCAAACTCACCTTTCAGACTTCTTTTAAAGCTTTCAATGCTATGAACATTGCTTCCTTTTATTAACAAATCATCAACATATAGACACATAAGAATCAGTTCACCATCTGAAACTTTGCTATAAACTCCATACTCCACACTGCACTTGAGGAATCCCAGCTTGTGTAAGAACTGGTCTATCCTTTTATTCCAAGCTCTGGGAGCTTGTTTGAGCCCATAAAGGGCTTTGTTGAGTTTATAAACCTGTCTTTCCCTTCTAGCTCAAAACCTGGTGGTTGAGCTAGAGGTCTATCCTTATATACTTCTTCATCTAGTGGTCCATTCAGAAAAGCTGACTTAACATTCATTTGATGTAGAGTCCAGCCTTTTAGACTTGTTGTGCCACTATCAGTCTTACTGTTTCCAGCCTGGCAACATGAGAGAAGACTTCACCATAGTCCAAACCTTCCTGCTGCATAAAACCTTTTACTACTAGCCTACCTTTGTATTTAGCATTTCAAACATCTGAGTTCTACTTGAGTTTATAAACCCACTTAACTGGAATCTGCTTCTTGTTTCTTGGTAGTTCAATTAAACTCCAAGTGTTATTTCTCTCAATTGCTGAGAGTTCTTCCTTCATAGCCTCTAGCCATCTGGGATCATTTGTTGCATCTTCATATGTAATTGGTTCAATTCTACTGAAAAAAGCTAGGTGGACCAAGTCACCATCTTCATTTATCAGATTATCAGAAAACACTTCATAATGAATAAGTGTGCTTGACACTCTCCTATTTCTTGTTGGTCTGTGATTCTGAGTTCCTTCATTGTTCTGAATGCCACTAGGATCTGATCCATTCAGACCTTCTTCATCCTTAGAATATACCAATGGAAACCTCATATCATTGGTTGCATTTGGATCATCCCAAGTCCAGGCATTTAACTCATGTACTAGCACATCCCTGCTAATATATGTCTTCTTTTCTACTGGATCATACAGTTTATATGCACCTGTAGGATCATAGCCAACAAGGATAAGTTTCTGCCCTTTATCACTTAATTTTTTTCTTCTTTCATCTGGTATGTGTCTGTAGCACACAGATCCAAACACCATCACCTCATGCCATGCTTCTTGCATTTGTAGTCAACTGTTGCACACCAGTAGCAATAAGGTAGATCCTTAGTTTTCAACATGCTTCTTGCCATGTTTAGGATAGATCTATTCCTTCTTTCTGCAGTCCCATTGTGTTGAGGAGTGTATGGTGCAATCACCTCATGTACAATGCCTTCTTGTTCACAGAAATTTTTGAACTCATTGTTCACATACTCTCCTCTACCATCACTTCTAAAAATCTTAATTAGCTTCCCACTTTGCTTCTCTACCATGCATTTAAATTTCTTGAACACAGAATATACCTTCGATTTCTGCTTAATCAGATAAATCCACATTTTTCTGCTATAATCATCAATAAAGGATACAAAATAGTGATATACATTTAAAGATGGCACTTCAAAAGGCCCACAAACATCTGAGTAAACAACTGCCAACACACTATTGCTCCTAGTTGATACCCAGGACTGAAAAGGTCTTCTAGTCTGTTTCCCAAACACACAACATTCACAGACTTTAGACTCACTTTTCACAGATGGCAGACCAATAACCATTCCCTTATCTGCCAGCTGAGCTAAACTTGTCCAGCTTAGATGACCAAACCTGTAATGCCACAATCAATTCTTCTCTACAACACCAGCTTTAAAGCACATATTTCCATGGATATTTATGCTTATTTTAAAAGTCCTATTAAGAGCTAAAGGAGCTTTTAAAATAAGAGCACTATTTCTATCATAAATCCTCATATGCATATCTCTCATACTGATATTGTGACCTTTCTCAAGCAACTGACCCAATCTAAGCAAGTTGTGTTTCATGGCAGGCACATATAATACATCAGAAATAAAAGGGTTTTTACCATTCTTGCACTTAATCTGAATTCTTCCTTTTCCTTTTGATCTGATTGTGCTATCATCTACAAACCAGTCTTTTCTGCAACCCATATGATTAGAACACTGTGTGTCAAGATACCATGAATCCTCAGTCCCATTATCTGAATCAACAACCGTAGTAGCCATCAACAGCACATCTTCCTCTTCTTTTACTGAATCTTGATTCCGAGCCACATGTGCCTCTTCTGATCTTTCATTGTCACTGTTCCTATACCAGCACTCATAGGAATAGTGACCATACTTCTGACATACAAAGCACTGAACATTTGCTTTGGATTTGGCATTATCATTATTCTTCCAGTTTCCTCTTCCACCTCCTCTTGAAGGAGCATTTCCTCTATTAATTCCTCTACCTCCTCTCCAGGTTCCTCTTCCTGCTCTTGCTGGACCTCCATTCTGAAATTTCTGATCAGGTTCTTGACCTCTCCCTGCAGGTTGACCTATGCCACCTCTTGCAGGTTAAACACTTTCCAAAAATAAATTAAATATCTTTTGAATAACATGACAAAGAATTAGAGGAAACCTATTAGTCAGGATTGTTTCGTTGTCAAACGAATGTTGCTATCATCCACGATGGATTAAAAACAAATAAACATAAATTCCAGGGAAGAAAAAAAATGTGAGGATGTAGAATATAATGTAATATATTTGCAGGGACTAAAATAATACGTAGTATATATTTGCATAAAAGGTCTCAAACGGCCATACTCTGTTTTCAAGGTAAACCCCAAAATGAAAAGAAAAATGATCAAATTAAATACCACCTATATTTAATGTAAAAGTTTTCGTTCACTATTCCCTAATCAACGTAATATTTTTTAATCTTTTATTTTATAGATCCAACATTTATTAAATTTGAATTTTTTACAATTTTGTAAAATTTAAATATAATTTCTGAATATGTAATTTTATTTACTAAAAGTAATCTTGTTATTGACTTGATGGTCAACCATATATCACAAAATGCATGAGAAACTTAAGAAGCAAGTTTTAATTACAAAAGTTCGATAGCTTTAATAAAGCATTATTTTCACTTCTCTTGTGCATTACCTCCTTACTCAATTGAGATGCATTGTCAAGGAAAGCATTTGGCGCTTTCCTTGGCAAAAGGAAAAAAGGGCATCCAAAATTTTGAAATGAAATGAATAAGAAAGATAAACAATAATATTTTAGATACCCCAATTTGTACACACCCCCTAATTACTTACACAGACAATTTGTTTGCAAAGAGAGAAGATTTTTTGTCAAAATGTCTGTGTACACAGGCAGTGTTTGCAAAGAGAGAAGATTTTCTGTCAAAATGTCTGTGTACACAGGCAGTGCACACTT